GGCCCGGGCCCCGAGCCGTGCCGCCCGGCTCGCCCGGGCCCCGCTGAGGCCCCTGCGCCCCCGCGTCTTCGCGAGAGGACTTGCTGCAAACTCCCGGAACTTCGGGGGGCAGCCCCAGAAGCGGCGAAACTCTCCGGGTTGGCAGCCCTGTCCTCGGGCCCCCACCCCAGGCGGCGCCCCTCGACGCCCTCCCCTCGCCCAGCCTCTGCTGCCCCGTGCCTGGGCTCCGAGGATCACAGAGGCCCTGGACGGAGCTGACTGCCCCCAGCCCCGTGTCAGGCCACGATGCTCATGAGGAAAGTGCCTGGCTTCGTCCCGGCCTCCTCGTGGGGGCTGCGGCTGCCGCAGAAGTTCCTCTTCCTTCTCTTCCTCTCTGGCCTGGTCACCCTGTGCTTCGGGGCCCTCTTCCTGCTGCCCCACTCCTCTCGCCTCAAGCGCCTCTTCTTGGCCTCCCGGATCCAGCAGCCCGGCCTGGAGGTGGTGGCTGATGTCGTTGGCCACCCTCCGGTCAGAGAGCAGAAGCCGCCTCCCAACCCAGCCCCCGCCGCGCCGGCCCCGGGCGAGGACGACCCCAGCAACCGGGCCAATCACCCCCGCAGGAATGGGTGGCCGCGGCGCACGCGCCCCACCGGGCCCCGGGAGGAGGTCACAGCGGTTCGGGGCAATGGCATCGCAGCCCTCGGGCCCCGGCAGAGGAGCGTCCCGTTTAGCTTTGACTTCAATGCGTTCCGGAGTCGTCTCCGCCACCCCGTGCTGGGGACGAGGCCCGATGAGAGCAAAGAGCCCAAGAGCCAAGTGCGAGCCCAGCGGGAGAAAGTTAAGGAGGTAAGGACACCCCTACCCCCCAAAAAAAACAAAACAAAACCCAACAACAGAAACAAACCCCTTCTTCTTCCATCCATTTCCACTGGCCCTAGTCATTCCTGGACCCTGGTCCACCCTAGCCCTCCAGGCACACTCCAGCCTCTTTCTTCTCCCAAACTTCCCACCTTCTCGTCTTCCCTGTGCACTTTCCCGTCTTCCCTGTGCAATTTCCCACCACCTGGTTCAGTTGTCCTGACCCTGGCAGCCCAAGCCCTGGCCAGCTTCCCTCTACCTCTGACTCTGGTCTTTCCTGTCCAGTCCCCACCCCCCTGCTGGGCTCCAGTCTGCACTTCTTCCTGTTGTGGAGTTCTGGTGAGACTGGAGTTCGGGTTCCTTTAACGGGCACCCTCTCTACTTGCATTTGTATACAGGAGTCTCTGGCCACATTACTTCTCACCGCTTGTTCTTAACGTCCTAACTTTCCTGAAACCTCCGTAGGACCTGCTACCTAGAAACCCAGGGTTTGGTGGGGGCGGTATTCTGTGTCCTGCAAGTATTCTGATGTTTAGCCAGCAGCCTACAAACTGGAGGATATTGTGCATTCTTGCTACCTGTTTTTGTTGACCTTTGGAACGGTTGTAACATAATTGCATGTGATGCAGGAAGCAACCATCAATAAGGGGGTGGTAATGTTACAAAAGGGAGCCGTGGTGGTGCAGTGGTTAAAGCACTCGGCTGCCAACCAAAAGGTCAGCGATTTGAACCCACCAGCCACTCCACAGGAGAAAGATGGGGCAGTCTGCTTCCAAAAGATTTACAGCCTTGGAAACCCTATGGATCAGTTCTGCTCTGTCCTGTAGGGTTGCTGTGAGTTGGAATTGACTCAGCAGCAGTGGCTTTGGTTTTTTGGTTTAATGTTACAGAAGCTCTGAAGTTATTGGCTTAATGAAGCAGGTCTTGGGTTTGTTCCTTGTAGGAGTTGGACCAGGGAGGGGTTAGAAGGATGACTTTGAGTCTCAGTCTTAGTTTAAAAAAACAAAAACAAAGGCAGCCTTGCCATGGCTTGAAGACCATTGCCAAGTCGCCACTGGTGGCTAAATACTCTGCTCGACCACTGTGAGAGCTGCCTGTGTGAGGTTTGTGCCTAGCAATGCTGAGGGGGCTGCAGTGACACCCCCAGGCCACGAGGGGGCTGTGGGCAAGCAGTGGGCCAGGGTCTCTTCCCTAAAAAAGAGAGGAGGCTCCCCCCTTGCCCGCAGACCCAGAAGAAGGGGCTACTTCTGTCTGTACTTACTGGTTTGCTGCGAAACGGTCAGCAGGTCTGCCCTGATTTCCAGGGAGAGCAGCAGCAAGGATTAGGACGCCCCCTGCCAAGACCTTCTCAGAGCTGGTACACAGATTGGCTGTTCCCTTTTCCTTGTCCAGGCTATCCTCCAGGCTATGTCCTCCCAATGGCCCCCATATCCTCCTCTTCTAATTTCTGCTGTTATTCAGTCCTTTTGTGCTAAGCCCTGTTTAAAAAAACAAAAAAACCAAACCCGTTGCCGTCAAGTTGATTCCGACCCATAGAAACCCTAGAGGACAGGGTAGAACTGTCCACAGGGTTTCCAAGGAGTACCTGGTGGATTTGAACTGCCGACCTTTTGATTAGCAGCCATTTCACTTAACCACGGTACTATCAGGGCTCCAAACCCTGTTGAGAGACTAGCAATCTTGTGAAGTCAAGGTAGGAAGCCACAAAGAAGCTAAGTCCTTGTTGTCTGTGTGTGTATGTGTGTGTCTGTGTATGTATGAGCGTTCGACCATACATGCTCTCAGCTTCCAGAGTCTTGTTGAAATCTCAAAGGTTAATTGAAGGCTGGACTTGCAGTAGCTAAGGAGGGAGGCGTCTGTTTCTCCCCTTTCTGTTAAGGAACTTTGTTATTGAATACTCACCTGGACCACCTGCAGCTCCCTGTCTCCAAGCCACCCATGAGCACATTAGCCCATTCAGCCCTACTGGACCTCCTAGGAGGGCAATAACTCTCACTGAAATTACATGTAAACTGCATGCATCAGTTTGTCGTGCGGCGTCCACAGCTTCGTCAGATATTCAGAAGGATCTCTGAAAGGATTAAGAATCAGCTCCTATCCTCCTCAGAAGAGGTGCCTTCTGCATTCGCATCTAGGTATGTGACCCATTTCTGAAAGTCTTGGGCTGGGAGCAGTGGCAGGAAGGATGGACTGGTTACTGGGAACTTGGCTCTGCCCCTCTGTGTAAAGACACAAACTCCTTTGCCAGTAGAGGCTGCGGGTGGTGGCTTGCAGCAGTGGCTGGGGGTTGGTGAGAGGTATGGAGGGTCAGTGCTTTGCAGGAGACACTGCTTAAACATATTCGGTGGAGGTCTATATTGGCTGCCAGATGTCTGGATCTTTCTATGTGGCATTCCCTTGTAGCCCTGTTAGTAGCTGGAAGCATTCTTACATACGGCTGCAGTTGGTGTTCAGTGTCTGCGCCCCCTATCTGGAAGACCTTTGTTGGTGTTGTTAGCTGGAGTCGAGTCGGCCCCTAACTCATGGCAGCCCCACGCACAGTGAAACAAAGCACTGACCGGTCCTACACCATCCTCATGATCAGTTGTGGATAGGACCATTTTGATCCATAGGATTTTCACTGACTAATTTTCAGAAGTAAATCACCAGACCTTTCTTCCTAGTCCAGGTTAGTCTGGAAGCTCTGCTGAAACCTGCTCAGCCTCATAGCAATACGCGAGCCTCCAGTGACAGATGGGTGGTGGCTGCACATGAGGTGCATTAGCCGGGAATCAAATCCAGGTCTCCCACATGGAAGGCGAGAATTCTATCACTGACCCTCACTGCCCCTGATTTTAAGCTCCTTGGAATGGAAGGTGCTGGGATATACACACTTGTGTTTTGAAGTTTCTGGTCTCCTCAAGCGTCTTGAGTTTGACCTCCTCCAAGATAACCAGAAAAATGTGGGACAGATTTTTTGGTTTAGCACGGAGTTCCCTTCCCTGGTGTCCCGCCTGATGAGGAATGCATATGACTGTTGCTGGAGGATGTCCTTCTGTTCTTCTCATGTAAATTCCTATCTATGTCATGCCCAGGGGGAGACCCTTTTAGAGTGGTGCCTGTTTTCACAAAAAGGACTGTTGCTTTCCTTTCTGGTTTATTTCCTGACTTGGATTGATTAGGCCCAGGGAGCAGAGGGAGAGTTAACGTCAGATAAAATGGGCCCTGTATTTATAAGGTGAGGTTTTTAAAGTGAAAGTAAACATCAAGAGAGAATCAGAGAGGGTGATAAATGAGCGCATAGGAAGACTGGACACTCAGGCTGTAGGTCAGCAAAGTACATTTATGAACATTCTAGTTTGAAAGATGGACATGGCACAAGATCTGTGCTGGTAAGATGGGCTGGAGGGGCGTGTTCTGGGTGTATGCACATCAGGAAACAATCTGTCGCTAGAATCAACTCTTTCTCCTCACTTCACAATTTTGGAACCTTGGAGGAGGCAGTGTGGTAGAAAGGGGAGACCCAGAGATCACGAGTTCAAGTCTCTGCTCAGTCATCAACTGGCTGACCTTAGGCAGCCACTTCCTCTCCTTCCTGGACATTGTTTTTCCTTCTGCAAAATGGGATGAGGGAGGGGCGAATAGAGTAGGGGTTTTAGAACTAAGCTTCACGACCTGAGAGGCTTTTAGAAGTTGCAGTAGTTTTCCAAGTGCAGGTCTGCCTTGAAGGGAGCAGGGAGGTGGCACCCTTGGGTAAAATCTTTTATGCCTGGAAAGCAGGCATCTGGAGGTTGGTGGCACACTGGTTAAGAGCTTGGCTGCTAACCAAAAGGTCGGCAGTTTGAATCCAGCAGCCATTGCTTGGAAACTCTACGGGGCAGTTTTACAATGGCATCGGGTTTGGTTCTTGTTGTTTCTGGAAGTTGCCCTGTGACTTGGCAGGGAGTGCCCAGCTCTTGCCCTCTGTGCCTGCTGCCTTAAGCCTCCAGGATGTCGCTGGTTATGATATGTGACCATGTCTGAATAAGTCATCTTGGCAAATGGTCTTTGCTCTCCATTAATGGGCTGGTTCATTAGTCATGTGTGGTTTCTCTGTATATCTGATTTATTGTCACTGGTGCCAGGGACAGGTATGAAAATTAAAAGGCGTTGCGTTCTTCGTAGCATATGAATCTGAGCCTGCGAGTTGTTCAGGATAATTAATATTAGGAACACCTCAGACTTAAATAGCTTTCAAGAGCTCTGAGTTGCAAATCCTTTGAAGAGCTTCTTCCCTGATCCTTCGGTTTCTCTGCTTCAGTTTCCCCCTTGTCCTGCTCTCCAGTACCTTTAATATAGATAGGAAGACCGGTCTATAATAATTGGGCAGGTCCCTTGGGAGACCTTTACATCCTAAGCCTGGCCACATGCCTCATTCTTCTTCCTTAGAACTGAGTGCTGCAAGTAGGGAGAAGCTTGGAACTTGTCCCCACCAGGTGTACAACTTAGCCCCCACGCAGTTGGTTGGGCTTCTCTGCTTTTATTTTGAGTTGCACTATCATTTTGGGGAATTATGGTAGCTGTAGGCATTCCAGGAGCAATTGCTTTTCAGGCCTCGTATTCTTAACTCTGTTTTTGATGTTAGGACTAGAAACAAATAGAACGATGACTTTTAAAAGTCAGCTGCTTATTTCACAGTACAGTTAACAGGGGGCAAGAATATAGATTCCCTGGCGGTTTCTAGAGTGACTGATTTACATCTGAGCAAGAGAAATGCCTTTTCTCTAGCTTTCCCCGAAGACTGATCCATTACTCCACCAAAAATAAATATTGTGATATATATCAGGCATACTTTGCTCAAAGGGACTTACATCTTTTCTCTTATTGAAAAAAATAAATCAGGCTTGCAGTTTGTAAAGCCCTGTGTAGGGAAGCTGTTTGGTAATCTTGGTGGGCACCCAGCCTCGTGGGTACAGGCTCTGGCTTGGAGAAGGGGCCGACCTCTGCATCCTAAGTTGAGTCTGTGTTTG